TACCCATGTCGGGAATCAAACCCGGGTCTTCGGCGTGACGAGCGAAACGCTTAAACCACTAGGCTACCCGACCGCCCTATGACCTCTGGAAAATGGGCAAACTTGAGGAACACACAGTGAAGCAGTATATAATCATCCCCCCATCTTCAGAACTTCCCGTTACATCCATCCATGTTTATGTATTTATAGCTGAAATTCTGAAGATGTGTTAAGGCCATTCATTTCTTTTCAAAATGTGTTTGTGTGTCAATACATAATCAGACATGGCGCCAATGTATCATGGCATGAAATCTGTTCTTGCTACAAATCCACTGTAAAAGATCTTTGCTCTTCCTTTTGGTGAATTTTGGCAAAATATTGTTTCTAACAATGATCAGCCTCTTAGCATGGCCAGAAGCACACTTAGGACATATGGTGGAGCAGGTCCCCTGTAATCCATGTTTGCTGTGAGAGCCACGTAAACTGGGGATTGGTTGGTAACCATGCATCACCTGGCTGATTATGTGTCATGGCACCAAACTTAGTATCAACTATATGTGACCTTATAGCTTTAGTCTGATAGAGCTGTAGTGCCAGGCAAACAGTTAGATTTACTGCCGTTTCAGTTTCTCAAAATGGAGTCTCTGGACTGTATATTTTATTATATTCAGATAATTTAACATCTGTATTTTTCATAAAATATTGATAGATAGAATATAGAGACTAAGTGTTAGTCTAATATTGCCTTTGAGAGGGCGCTGACCCACACACATCCATGGTTTGCACTGCAACTCCTGGTTTGCATGCTCAAACCTATACTTACTGCTGGACATAACATATTGCTGACTCAACATAAAAACAATCTCTGAACTAGGAACATACCCTATTAAAAGAAATCATGTTTCACCATTAAAAAAGCCCGATAAGTTCGTATCTGTTTTAGGTTACAACTATCAGACATCTTGGAATAACCGCAATGAGTCTGTTTTTAATGTAAAAAAAATATCTGGTATTAAAACCATTCTTCAACAACAAATGACTTCTTCCTCAGATGATACCCCCAACTGGCTGTGATTTATAATCCCCCAAACACAAAACCATATAATCAGTCATGAGGGAGATAGTCTGGACAAACTATCATTCATCACGTTTTCATGAAGAGTCTGGGGCCTCAATGGTGGCTTCATCCTCCAGTCGATACTACTTTCCAAACACATTTCCATTGATAAAACATCTAGTTGCTGCAACATTAATGTGATATATCATTGTCACGCTGTGATTAATATTGCCTTCAGGAATACAGTCTCAAACATGGTTGATCATATAGTTTATCCGATGGAGTAATACATTCTGGGGATGTGGTTGCAAATGTGCATGGCATCTTTAAACCACTGAGTTATAAATCTGTACAATAATGATGGCATGTTAACTTGTGTGAAAAGTACTTCTTTTTTCAGTTTGTGTAATGCCTTCTCCAATATAAAAAAAATGGACTCGAAGTTTCAGTGTTGGAAATATATATAAACCGTATTCGCTGTAAAAAAGACAAATTGACAAAGGGATGCACTTATTAAAACCATACACAAGTTAAATTTGTTTAAAGCGATTGAGCAGTTGTGAACAAATGTAGTTCAAATGTTGTTCAAAGTAAAACCTTTTTGATATTGCAAGGCAATTATAAGCCCCTTCTGTGCTGCTGTAATAAATGTGTAATGTACACAAGAAAATATACACTGTCAAGTAAATGTTTGTTCTGATACTGGGGCGCCTATTATGGAGGTGAGTGAGTATGATGGTTTTACGCCGCTTATTGCATATTCCAGCAATATCACGGCAGACACCAGAAATGGGCTTCACACATGGTACCCATCTCGGGAATTGAACCCGGGTGTTCGACATGACGAACGAATGCTTTAACCACTAGGCTGCCCAACTGCCCTGCGCCTATAAGGACTACTTACAAATTGGTCTAGCAGTTGGTCGGGGCGCTTGTAGGAACAGGGTGCTTAATACGGTGAATACAGTAAATATATTACTGAAATGTATGTAACATTTTCAGAAAGTTGAAAAAACGCTTTTAGAGAAAAATATTGAATAAACACATGAAAACGAAATATTATTGCAAGCACTGACTTTCATACAGTTTGAAGATCACTCTATGACATGTACAGATCATACTTCAGGGAACTCACTAAAAGTGGAAGTCTTAAAAGTACAAACCATCTTCGTCGTATAGTGGAAAGATAATCTGCCTGGTACTTGTTGTTGCCCTGCCTGTCATGGAAAAAAGAAGCACTGGTCGGCTCGGAGTCAGTATACCGTGTCTGAGAAGGGTATCTCAGTGGGCTAGCACTATAAAACCGGCATACATCTCGACTAGAACATGCAGCCGCACACATGTATGCATGTTGCTATAGAAGTTTAATGATATTGAATGTGTCAATAAACTCCATTTCACCTCATCCTAAAAAGACATCAACACATCTTTCCAACATAATTCTGTGTGCATCTGCTCAGCAAAGCATTTCCTCATTAAGGGTACAGACCTTTATCTCAGGCTCGCTGACTTGGTTGATGCATGTCATCGATCCCAATTGAGTGGCACGATGCTCATGATATTAATCACTGGATTGTCTTTGATCCCACAGTTGGGATGACATAAGCCTGGTTTACACTTTTACCCTATGAGGTAAATTTTGAAGTACAAACATGTTTTTAGAATTTACCCCAGGGGGTTAAATACCCCAACTCGATAAGTGGAACAAATTTCATACCCTTATGGGGTGTATTTACCCCTGGGTGTGAAATACCCCATGGGGCAAAGTTGTGCATGTAAACTAGGCTATAGTTCAACATCTATGTGCGATAAATTCCATGATACCAGCATCACCTGGTTATATCATCTGTGGCAACCATATGGACATTTAATGCTACATAATCAGTTCATGAGTAATAAGTTGAAACAGTTATGATATACTACTCAATGTTTGATTGGGATACTCCGATATGTCGTTCTATTTAATCATACGCTTGACATATTATGAGAATCAGTTTTGTTTATCCTGGAAAGATTAAAATATCCCTATCAGAAATGGAGTGGTACACTATTAGAGAATAAAAAAACTTCCCTTTTTGCCCATCTTCTGTTTGAGATGTGATAAACGGTTCTCACAGAATATCATCCCAGAGCATCTGCTGCATCACAGACAAAGTATTTAGGAAGTAAATGATGCATCTCAGTGGTCGACATTGGTGAATGTTTGAAACGGATGACACCGTTTTGTGCATGCTTTTTTTATACGCCATTATGAGTTCTTGGATCTCATTTCATGCCATCAGTAGGTTCCGATAATTTCTTTCTGTCATGCAGCGAGATAATAAAACTCTGAGTCCTGATGACATTTTGAAGAGGTTTGAGTGTATTACCATAAGGATGTGTGAATTATTAAGCTGGTATGCAAATAGGATCACGTGCACCCTATAACGACATGCCTTGAGATGTAGCTCACCTGGAGTATGAAAGAAATTGTCGATCAACTGTCCATCTATGGTCTACTGTCCAAATCCTTTTAGTTCTCCACTGCTATTTCTAACTCTTCTGGTGATTCTGGGTTAGCTTTGATCCCCAGTAACCTATGCTTGTAGCATTTAAGAGTTGACTTCCTGGGTTTGGTTGGGTGGTTGATAGCTTGTCATCATACCCTGAGGGTGTGGATCAATGCTCATGTTATCAATCACTAGTCTAGACTCAGGTATATACAGGCTACCATTACATACATACACCTGGAAATAGTGATGAGTGCAGTTTCTAACTACATACAAATATAACACTGTTACAAAAGGAGTTCGGGTTTCTTGACCGGTCTCCAGTAAGTTCCTCAGTGCTTGTGACCTAGATAACTAATGACGAATCTGTGGTTACAATGTATCACCTGGCTGATAGTGTGTCATCGTACCAGGGACATGAATGGATGCTGATGCTGTCTGCCACTTGTCTGGACCAGACAGGTGAAAATTGCTGACTTGGTATTTAAAGAAATTTTATATAAAAATCACTCGTTCCAAAAAGTAAAATTTTGCATAATGTTTTTTTTTTAAATGTCAAATCATTTTTTAAATCCAGGTCTCGGTTTAAACCTTTTGCAAGGTAGTGTTTGTTTGTTCATTGTTTAAGGCCGCACTCAGCAATATTCCAGCTACGTGATGGCAGTTTGTAATTTAAGTGCTAATCTAGACAATTCAGTGATTGAAAAATAACATGGATCCACACAATTGGGGGGGCGGTTGGGTAGCCTAGTGGTTAAAGCGTTTGCTCACACCAAAGACCCGGGTTCAATTCCCGACATGGGTACAATGTGTGAAGCCCATTTTTGGTGTCGCCCGCCATGATATTGCTGGAATATTGCTAAAAGCGGCGTAAAACCTCACTCACTCACTCACTCACACAATTGGGAAATGATCACAGGCATCAACCAAGTCAACGAGCCTAATCACCTAATCGTCTTAATCGCCTCTTATGACAAGGATGGTTGCTGAAGACCAATCCTAATTTGGATCTTCACAGTGGGCAAGGTAGTGTTAGTTTCCTGCATGTCTACACTGATTCAAGGCTTTGCCTTTATCGACATTTCACTGATGTTATATTGAGAGGATGTTACGAGAGAGGGGGATAGAAAGTTCAATCAATGACTGTAATTAATCTTCCATGTTACGTCTCATCTTGTTCATTCAAATATTCCAGCTATGCATTTTATGACTTTGATTAAAATGTGAACATTTTGAGGAACCCTTGAAGCTTTGTAATAAATTTTAGAAGACATGGCATTATCACTATTTCATGAGGACTGATGGTTATTAGCTCAACTGGTGGCAATGGAATTAGTTGACAGGTCACATGTCAGTGTCAAGGGAGCCATTCATCCCAACACATTCCTCCAGTGGAGTTAAAATCTGAATTGATTTCTTGCTCAATTGGTTACACATGTTTTTGTCATTTACAGTCTTGTTCATTTCATTTACAGAAATGGCACAGAAAAAGAATGTAATATCCTCCTTACAAGAAGATGAGGGAGATGATAGGAACAGCCTCATGCCCGAAACAGGGGGAGAACTTGTCTGCCGGAACAGCCCTCAAACCCGTGAGTTTACAGAACATTGTCTCCCTCTCAGCAGACTGCTTAGGGAGCCTATCAAGATCCAATTCTCCTCTGTAATTCCCTCTTTGTTTCTTTGATGATTTAGTAATCTACTACATATGTATGTGACAACCTTGGTGTTACATTCAGCTTAAATGGATTGCAGCAGATCTATAAGTTATATTACATTTCCGTACGATAATCTTCCCAGGAGGAATTGACTCCTGTAGCATTTTATACCATCAGTGGATGTGTTAGGATGATATAGGCTCGTCATATTGATACAAGTGGTATCTGTTCTTGGATTTGGAACGAATTAATATAAATATTAAATTATTGTCATCTCATAATGTTTTTCGTTTAGCCAGGGTTCCATTCTTTCTTCGGGCCTCTGTGCTAGAATTTCCAAAACATATCTATCAGTATGCATGAAGTTACTAAATACATGATCACTGCAGTAGTCTGAACTTAGCATAAATGTTTTTAAGATATTGTAGAGGACTTGAATCTTTGTTGTTTGTATTTTAGTTTATTTAACACATATTTTAACTGGCAAACTTGGGTAGCCATAACTTGTTTGGACTTACCAACACCCTTTGTATGCCCCTGTTCTAGCTCTATATATCAGTAATGACATATTCTCATCCAAACAATATGCTACCCAGTTTGTTACAATGTTCATTATATAATGTTTATTAAGAATATTGTGTTGTTTATGACTCCTCGTGACTGTCATGGTCATGTTTATTAAGAATATTGTGTCGTTTATGACTCCTCGTGACTGTCATGGATCCAGCAATTATCCCACAGTCTTCTGCCCTGGTCATGTTTATTAAGAATATTGTGTCGTTTATGACTCCTCGTGACTGTCATGGTCATGTTTATTAAGAAAATTGTGTCGTTTATGACTCCTCGTGACTGTCATAGATCCAGCAATTATCCCACTGACTCTGCCCTGGTCATGTTTATTAAGACAATTGTGTTGTTTATGACTCCTCGTGACTGTCATGGATCCAGCAATTATCCCACAGTCTTCTGCCCTGGTCATGTTTATTAAGAAAATTGTGTCGTTTATGACTCCTCATGACTGTCATGGTCATGTTTATTAAGAAAATTGTGTCGTTTATGACTCCTCGATACAGCAATTATCCCCCAGACTGGTGCCCTGTCTCTTGGGACAGAAGCTGGTCAAGCCTGTGTAAACATTGTATAGTGTCTGATTGCCTATTCAGACAATAAGACGGTAGTCCTGTAGTGACCTGATCCAATCCCATGCACCTCCTTACTGCCAGGCTTGTATTGAATAAGATTAGAGACTCTCTGTGTAGATACCAGCTATCTCTGTGCCAGATGTCCAAGCCATGTCCAAGCCTCTCCATAGGGGAGAAGTCCTTATTTCTACAGTGACAGATATGTGGAGTGGCCAGGTCATTAACACTAACAGAGAGAAAATTCATTGGATTTAAACACAGGGATCGACTAACAATATTCCAGCAATAGAGAGGGCATCAGCAACAGGCTTCATCACTTGAACACTTGTAGGGAATCGAACCAGGGCTTTCAGCATGATAAGCAGCTGCTTCAACCGCTTGGCTACCCCACCCTATTAACACACATATTGTTTGTTTGTTTGTTGTTTAACGCCGCACTCAACAATATTCCTGCTATATGACGGCGGTCTGTAAATAATCGTGTCTGGACCAAACAGTCCAGTGATTGACATCATGAGCATCGATCCACGCAATTGTGATACGATGACATGCATCAACCAAGTCATCGATCCTGACCAACCAATCCCGTTAGTTGCTTCTTACAACAAGCATTGTCGCCTTTTATGGCAAGAATGGGTTGCTGAAGACCTACTATAACCCGGATCTTCACGGGTCACACACAGATTGGCATGTAGGGGATAGTCTGGGTATACAAGTGTCATGAACAGGTCACAGGGTTAACAATTATATTATGCCTGTGCTTCCAGTAGATGTCCAATGGATATGGCCTTCCTTCAACCTTCCAATGGATATGGCCTTCAAACTTCCAATGGATATGGCCTTAAGCCTACCAATGGATATGGCCTTCAAACTTCCAATTGATATGGCCTTCAACCTTCCAATTGATATGGCCTTCAACCTTCCAATGGATATGGCCTTCAACCTTCCAATGGATATGGCCTTAAGCCTACCAATGGATATGGCCTTCAAACTTCCAATTGATATGGCCTTCAACCTTCCAATTGATATGGCCTTCAAACTTCCAATGGATATGGCCTTAAGCCTACCAATGGATATGGCCTTCAAACTTCCAATGGATATGGCCTTCAACCTTCCAATTGATATGGCCTTCAACCTTCCAATGGATATGGCCTTCAAACTTCCAATGGATATGGCCTTAAGCCTACCAATGGATATGGCCTTCAAACTTCCAATGGATATGGCCTTCAACCTTCCAATTGATATGGCCTTCAACCTTCCAATGGATATGGCCTTCAAACTTCCAATGGATATGGCCTTCAAACTTCCAATGGATATGGCCTTAAACCTACCAATTCATATGGCCTTCAACCTTCCAATGGATATGGCCTTCAACCTTCCAATGGATATGGCCTTCAACCTTCCAATTGATATGGCTCCAAAATGAAAGAAGTACACTGCATGATGTAGTTGATAATTATATAGTCCAATGTACATGTGTTTGCAGTGCATGACGGCATGGGCTGCTAATAGTTAGAAGTTTAGAGTGATAAATAAAATTTACTGTTGGAAGATAAACGTGTGTGGTCAGACAATAAACCAGGGAAGATCCATGGGGGATCAGTGAAAATAACTGGCATGTTATTTAGGTTGAGTATGTTGTTCCAAAAGGCAGAATTATACAACACAGACTATTACCAGGTAAGACGACATTGCTGATATGTCGAGAGATGAATAAATCAAAACTTAAATTTGTGTTCAAGTCAGCAGCTCTGATGAAGTCACATCTCTCTTTATAATGAGACAAATCACAATCAGTATGACTGTTGAAAAACAAGTGTTGTTTGCAAACAGAGTACTTGACAAAATATTTACATATACATTTGTATAGAAGAGCTTCTCCTGATGGCAACTCCATTACCAGAGTACAGCGTTCCCATGCTGATAGGCTCTGATCACAGATTTGCCCTGATTATGTCTTTCAGGAACAATCCCTGCTCGTTGTGTAAGCATATTTTTGTACCACCCAAATTTAGTTCTGACCGAAAAAAATATCAGTATTAAATACCTTAAATTGCAGTGAAAATGTTGGACCTTGTTGTGAAAAGTTCCAGTTGGCAGGAACAAACTTTTTGGTGTGTTTATGAGAGATGTTCCTGTATGTTGTACAATTGCAGTACAAGTAAACATAATCTAAGAGAAAAATGAAGGATTTTGATGAAAAAGGAAAGCATAAAACAAATCCTGATAGTTAATTAACGATAAAGGCAAATGTGAAAACATGTAATTATGACAGAAACAGATAGAATGCAGAGCCAAAAATGCAATTGAAATCAGAAGTACTGCTGCACAAGAATTCCATGAAATGACTGTGTTTATGTAAAGTAAATTAAACAAAAAGGCAGTCACCAGTGAATAACCCCCTCCCCCCCCCCCCAGTTTCACAAGGTAGAACATATGTATGTAAAAGTTCCTGTATGACAGGAACAACTGACAGTGTGATAGGAACCCAACCTTGATGCGATATGCACCTTCAAAGGATCAAATGTCTGAAGTAAAAGTTCTTCTGCCGGAACTTATATGCACATGCAACCAAATCTTGTATACAGTTGGTTGTACCAAAGTTGTGAACGTCTGCAACCTGTGCCTCCTCAAAATCTGTGCTTTACTCACGAAGCAAGCCGACATAACTGAAATACAGTTCAAAGTGGCATTCAACCCTAATCACTCACCTTTTGATGTAAGCCTCTACCCCAAATACTTGAGTTCAGCTAAACAGCCCTGGACCTGACATGGATTGAAAGGTTACAAGTGAAATGATTGGATGGTTGGATTATCGGAAACACAACTATTTGTATATTTCTCCTAATTGCAATATCTGTCTCTGTTGGGTGCTATCACAATCTATTCTAGACTGCTTAAAAATAACTTTTGTGTATCAAGCAGATAGATTTACCAGTTTTTGTCATATTATTTCTTTGGACAGCATTTTCAGAAGAGCATCGTTGATGATATATGAGCAAGCAGTGCATAGGTCATTGACTGCATAATCAGAGATTATGCAGCTCCACGCAGCTCTTGCATTGCAAATGACAGGGAAATGGGAGATGAGAAGAGTCATGTCAGCTCCATACATCATCCCAGGGAAAGCAGCCATGGTGTTTTGGAACTGCTCTTACTGCTACAGTTGTCATGGTTGACAAGAAATTTAGACAACACAGTTGACAACCAGAGCCTCAGTTTGCATGGTATTAAACCAGAATTCGTCATTTGTGTCAAATGTCTGCTCTCTAAGGCTGCTTGTAAAGATTTTATAAATGGCTTTGATAGAATTCAAGGAAATGATAACTGATCATAGCTGTCAGAAAGCCATGATGTGTTGCGCAACAAGAATGATGGCAAATGTCATGTCTTAAATTTCTTGTCTGAGATTATTCTTTTTTGGAAGTTTTAGCGAAGTAGTCACACCAAGCGCCTGCTCTTGAAATTCTAAGGAACTGACCAAGTTAATATTCTTGGGGTGGGGGTGCGGGTGCTTTTTGACCCCCGACCATCCCAGAATATCAAAATGTTGGTTCCTTAATGCTAGGACAATAATAGTGTATTGAACAGCAGGAATAGAAACAAACACATACAAGATAGCAATTATTATTCTTGTTTCTTGTGTGTGAAGATTTAGAAGTTCCCTGGCTACAGTCTCTACAAGAGCTTGCTGCATATATGACGATGTAATGTTGTGTTGTTGTTTTTTATTCGGATTGAAAGAGATATTTTAAGTTTCATCTTTATTTCAGTTGCCGTCAAGACATTTGA